GCGGCGATGGATGAGGAGGCGGAGGTGGCGGTCGACGTCGCGGAGGGCGTAGGCCAGGGTCTTGGGGTCGACGAGGTGGAGGCGAACGACGAGGTGGAGACGGACGGGAGTGGTTCCGGCGAGGAGGGCGCGGAGACGCGAGCGGTTTGAGACGGGGGTGGTGGCGAAGGCGGCGACGACACGGTCGAGGAGGGGGAGCAGGGGTGCGGCCGAAGCGGTGGAAGGGGTAAGAAGGCGGGAGAAGCGGCCAAAGCGTTGAACGACGTACACGGTATGCGGCGGGGGATGACGAGCGGGCGGGCGGGAGAGACGCGAAGGCATGACCGGCAGGGTCGGCGGGGTGGTGATCTGGGGGGGGGCGGGGAAGGGAAAAGAGGAGGGGCGGGAAGGAGACGATGAGCTGGGACTCGATATAGACAAGGAAATGGGGGCTGTTGGATGCCTGTGACTGGACAGGTGGCGCGGGTGACCGGGCGGTGACAGGGGAAAACGGGGGCGATGGGGCGGAATGGGGCAACAAATGGGCCAGGCCGTCTCCCGTTACCCTTGATGTCACGCGCTGCCGCCCTGCAATTTTCGTTTCAAGCTGGTCTCTCCCCCCTTTCTCTTCGAGCCGCTTGTACCGAACGGGGCCCGTATGCCGCTTGTAATTATCAAAGTCGACGATTTTGACAGAGCATCATCACGAAAATCTCGAAAATCCTCCCGAAAATATTCCCAAAAACCCTCCCCAAATTCCTCTCGTAAATCCCCCTTCTGCTTTGTTCAAGTCAATTCGACACCCTGTTGCCCTGGTAACATTACCTTGCTGTGTACTGTACTATCCACCCCGCACACGTGGACTGGCTAAAAGCCCTTCGCTTTTCTGGACGAAGGTTCAGCACAGGCTTTGAGAAAGTAACCCTCGTCACCGTACTTGACTTTTGCGCCGCCGAAGGATAGGGTTTGGTGACAACTACCATGTCCCGTCCAGTCGTTTTTAGATGCGCCTGATGAACAAGGTTTTTTGAGCAACTTTGTAACATTTTGTCTTGATCACTTGGAAACCAGAACCTGTGATGAAGAGGTGAAGAGGGCGTCGTCAGAATGAGTTTGATCAAAGGAAGCACGTTCCCTGACAAGCACAGCATCTTGATGGCATCCTTAGCCCTGTGCGCCACCGTGGGCCGATCTCACAAGGTAAAAAACTCAGACTCTGGGCCCCTGCGTATACAGGCCCCTCCCAGGAGTGCTCATACACTGTCAACGCCCAACCAGACCACAGGGCAAAATAACGGCTTGTGGAAAGTGGGAAAACTCAATCTCTTTCACTCCTGCGACGCTATAAAGGGGAAACGTAAGCGCAAGCCCCTAGCCCAACAAACTCTGACAGTGTTTGATAATCTACGCGAGCGGCATGCGAACGTCCCGGAGGCTGCACACTGGAATCATCTGGACACAAAAGTGGGCATCCACTGTATTTCATCATGCAACACTTCAACGCCAGTATGTTGCTGCTGCTGCCCCTGCTTCTCAAGTAAACATTAACGTGGATTTGCAGAATCTGCTATTGTCAGACAGATGAGCGCGTGGAGAGTTCCGAGTCAGGCAGGTCGGCCGAAGAAACAGCGGAAAAAGGGGGTCGCAGCGCTTCAACGAAAATCGCGTTGCTCTGCTTGTAGTCAAGTTGGGCACTACGCTACGATTTGCGAAGCCCCAGACACTGTGTACCTCTACCGGAAAGTCGTTCGGGAGTGAGGTGAAGAAAGTGGTACGTAAGAAAACTTCCAAAATAAAAGTGGTAGGTAACAAAACTTCTCAAATATAAAATACCGGCCTCGTACAGTACTGTACATACAATACTGTATGAGGCAAATCGCTTGTCGTCCCATTCGCCAGTAATGCGCCAGCACATTGCATTGCTTCTCGTTATCGCCATTACAGTGCTCATTAAGCCCCTTTTTACCGAAAAACTGTACAGTATCACTCGCACACATACCGTACACTACAGTGTGATTGTACCCTAAGGGTATACCCTAAGGGTACAGCACTGTACCGTAACCCGTGCCTCTACCCGAAAAACATAAAAATACAATTCTATACAGTACCTGGTGCCAGGTCCTGCCAGCAGGTACTACCTGCGACATCGCACCTATGATACCTATTTCCTCTCCTTCGCACCGAACTGCTTAATCAAAACATCTTTGAGCACCGGCACCAAATCATCGATATCCGCAGGAATCGCCTTCTTGTCCTTCAAATCCCCCAAGTGCGCATCTTCCCCAATCCTGCCGCCCAGGAACATTTTCACCCCCTCCACCCCCTTCCCGTCCTTCCTGGCCGCCCCGCCCATCAGTCCGATATCCGCCACCTGCGCTTGCCCGCAGCTATTGGGGCACCCAGTCCAGTGCATCCGTACCTCACGGTCCAGCTCCACCTCCTCGTCCAGCCGCCGCGCGACCTCGATGGCCCGGTTCTTCGTCTCGATGATTGCCAACCCGCAAAACTGCGCCCCCGTGCACGACACCAGCCCCGCGCTTACCCCCTTGCGCTCCGTCTTGAACTTGCCCATAATCTCCTCGCCGAGCAACCCTGCTACCTCCTCGTTCTTGACGTTGGGGAACAGCACGTTTTGCTCCACCGTCAATCGCATCTCCCCGTTGCTGTACCGCTCTGCCACGTCGGCTAGCTTGGTGAAGTCCTCCGCCGTCAGCCTGCCCGCGGGCACGTTGCCGCACACCCATGAAAGCCCCTCCTGCTTCTGCGCATGCACACCTAGAACATTGCGTCTCGGAGCCGGTGTTGCGTACTCCTCTCCTCCGTCTACCGCCCGTCTAAACTTGGAACCGAATTCCTCTTGAATCACTTCCCGGAATCCGCTCATCGTCAGCTTGTCCACCATGTACATCAGCCGTGAAGACATTCTATTCTTCCTGTCCCCATTATCCCGAAACCATATAAGCAACGTCTCGCAAAACCGCACTACGTCTTTATACGGCAGCCACACGTCCATGGGGATAGCCTCTGCGTTGCGTTTGATGGAAAAGAACCCCCCGATGACCACGTTGAATCCCACCTCCTTGGTCGTTGGATGCACCATCGGCACCAACCCAACGTCATTGATGTGGGTGTGCGCAAAGTCGTCGCGCGAGCCCGACACGCAGATGTTGAACTTGCGCGGCAGGTTAGTTAAGGCGGGATTTCCGCGCCGGTTGTTAGTGATCATGTCATTGATAGCAATGCAAAGCTCTCGCGTGTCCACGATCTCCTCGGGGTCTATGCCTGCAATTGGGCTTCCGACCATGTTGCGCACATTGTCCATACCCGACATGTAACTCGTCAGGCCGATCTTGTACAAGCCGTCACAAATATCCCCGGCGTCCTCCAAGACGATGCCGCGCAACTGGATGTTCATGCGTGTAGTGATGTCGGCACACCCATCATCGCCATACTTTTCCAGTACGCGCGCAAAGTAGCGCATCTGGTTGGCGTCGAGGAGGCCGTTGGGTACCTTGAGCCTCATCATGAAGCGTCTTGGGGTGCGCTTCTTCCTATGGAACAAGCCGGCCCACTTGAAGCGCGTCTCGAGGTCGTCCACCTGCAAGTCATCCCAACTAGTCTGGCCCTTGCGTAGCAGCTCTGCAAGTTCCGGGATCTCGTCCCAGATGGCGGAGCCATCCTTTTCAAGCTTGAGCTTCTCAATCTTGGTGCCCTTGCGGGCCTTCTCTAGGGCTATTTCGGACAGAAACTTGCCGCCGTGTTCCACTTCTTGCAGGACCATAGTGGGCGCGCGGCTTGCGGCACGCGTGGCCACTTTGCGGGCGGCGAGACGCGGCGCGCAGACGCGCTCCCCGCGAAGGACATTGGCTCCAATGCTGACCGGGGCCGCAAACGCACTCGCATTATTGATAGTAGGCTTCTCCATGATTTGACGATGAGGATCTAGTGAGACTCCGGCTTCACGCACTCAGCTTTTATTTCTTTCTCATGAACCTCCACCGCCCCTCGTAACGAGCGAAATGTGAAGCAGAAGATACATTCTGCTTTTAGTTTTCAGGATGAGTGGCCAAATTGCGCTCTCAGCTGTATCCCACGGGCTAGGGGGCCCCTGTCGCCACTCGTCTTTTGCAAGCGACATGCAGGCCAAAACGTGATCTTCGTCGTCATCTGAGGACTCACACGTGTTCAACCTTTAAAGAATCTCTTCGAAAAACATCTCTTTTTCAGCTGTCCGGTTCTGCTTCCCATTTGTAAGCGACGTGTGCATCTTCGAAGTGTCGCAAGGGGAATTGAAGGTCTCGTGCTTGCGCCAGGCGCCAACGAAGTTGCGCTAGCAGATGTTCAGAAACGCCTGATTGGCTGATGAGACTATTGGTCCTCACTTTTGAGCGATATCATTGGGAGACAACAGCGAAATCAATGGCTGCTATTGCTTGTTGAACGCATGTGCGAAGCAAAGAGGCCCGTATGCCTCGCTCATTAATCAACGATATTTTAACTTTTTTTCTTCTCCCACACTCCCCCGTTTTTGCTGTCTGGAAAACGAAGGCACTGTGCGCCGCCACCGAGCTAGGGCACACGTGGACAACACATAGACAACACGTGGGCATGGAATGCACCGGCCAGATGTACACGTAATGCACTAGCACTCTATCAAACCTGCCGGCACATGGGGCAAGAGTGAGGCAGAATAAAAGACTCTTGCCCCTCTTTATCGTAACGAGCTGTGATGCAAACCGACTGCAGACTGTTCTGTTGAGGGGCCCAGTTTAGCAGGGACGCAACTACTGTTTGCATACACTTGGCAGGCAAGGTACGCTAGGCACGCAAACACTTTGCCTTTTGCCAACTGCGGCGGTAAGAATCCCATTTGTAGCGATGTTATGAGGCATGAATATTTACCTTTTCGAAGCCAAACGAAATCTCTCATTACATTAATGGCCGGAATGGCTCCACAAAGTTTAACGACGTCATACTTTTGATACTCGTCAGTACCTTTGCACTGGCAGTAGATGACGCAGGGCGGCATTTGTGTGAAGACAATGACATAAGAATTACCTGCCGTATACGGCTCACGTTTGATAAACTTCATATTTGAACACACTGTACGCGCGGTACACCTGTACTGTACCATACAAAACAGGAAGGAATGAGCAGTGAGGCGCACCCTTCGCATGTGCGGAGAAGGCGCCTTTGATCAAGAGAGGCCTTGCTTCGTTTATCTCCTTCATCCGTACGTTCTTCTACAGTCTTTCAGGGATCAAGTAGTGATATAGTTCTGCACGGGAGCTGAGCGTCCCGAAACACCCAAAAGTGCTTTCTTCGTGCTTTCTGAAACCATTGGCATGCTTCAGGATATCTGAAATCAAACGCAACAACTTGATTCATAGTAGATATGCAGTGTCAAAATCAGTGCGCTTGATGGCAATAGTTCCGCGCAAATCACAACATTGTCATCCTCAGAATGCTCTGCAATCTTCAAGCAATCATCCCTATGGTTCCTCTTCTCTTCAAACGGCTGCATGGGAGTGTGAGGATCTTCTACAATACTGATGTCTAGTCCTATGCCAGCTTTTTTTGCAAAAATATATACATTAAATCGAAACTTTATAAAGTCTGTTTGGACGTCATTTCTTTAACGTACATGCCCTCGGCAATAACATCTTGCAAAACATTGGGATAGCAGATGCCCATACACGGAAAGACTAAGAATATAATGAAGTTTTAATATCCGGTTGACCTTTTAACAGGCGTTTTGGTTTCGAAGATATCAACACATAACGTTTTGAGGTTGGTCAAAAAGGCTTCTACTATTGGCATTCTAAAATGGCTGGAAAATACGTGCAGATATCACCAAACTTCACATGTTCATCCTTCCGCAACGCAGAAGTCAAATGTGGTGGCGACAGTATCTTTTCCTACTTACAGTAATTGCCAATCAAGGTATGATAAGCTTTTGATAAATGGAACCTACAGATACTGTAATCGGAACCAAATGTGTTCACCGTTCGGTTACCGAGACCGCTCGGTGAAGTATTACTGTAAGGGTAGGGTCCCGCTCAGCGTCTGACAGTAATATTTACACTATAAACAAGAGCTGAGCGGGACGATGACGCACGGTACGTGACGTGTACAGTACAGTACACGTCCCTACAGTGCTCACCTCAACCGTAAGGTCGTCCTCTTCGCCAATAAATGGGGACTCTATACAAGAAAGAGTCCCCGAGGACGATCCGGTCGGCCTCAGCAGGATCCTAATGGGATCCCGCGGGCGAAGAGGACCACGACAAGACGAAGGAGGAGACAAGATATGGTCACAAGGGGCCGTTTAGTGGGGTTTTTATTATAAATATATGTTTTAAGTGTAGTCTAGGCTGATGTAGCAACCATATAGATTTCTATAAAGAGTCGGTTGCAGAACAACGGAGAGGAGGAGAGGCAGGCACAACACCCGATTAACAACCGGAGCCCCTCAACCGACTAAACCAGAGAGTCAAAAGAACCTCTGAGTCAACCTATTCACAAAACTTCCGAATTTCCAAAAGTAAGTCAAAGTATTCAAAAACCTGCACACGTGTCCACCGTGCACGTTAAAACTGGTAGCATCGCTAACCAAATCTTAACCGCTATTCCTATCCTATCGCTATTGCTATTCATCTTTACAGTGTGTAAGCCAGAATCCGACAGTAAGCCGCAGGAGGCCGAAATTACAGAAGTCACACCGGTGACACGTGTTGAAAAAGAACCGAGCCCCCCGCCCGAGGGATCAAAAGTGGCGATAGTTTCTACGGTACCACGGGCTACAGTACTCAAAAACGAGGCAGATTTTCTTGACGGCCTCGAGAGACAAGAGCTGGACCGCGGACCAACAATAGGACTCGCCCCTCGGTCCGCCCCGCGCAGTGGCACCACGTGTTCAACGTGCCACGTGTTAAAGCCCGTGCATCAAGCCTGGCAAGAACACAATTTAACCGAGGACCACATTAGTGCACTGATTAGTGCGCGCGGATTTAATAGTGCAGTACAGTACTTGGACAAGGAGTACAAAAAATATTTGGGTATTAAGTGTGAACTTTGTCATACTAATTACAGTAATATTCTACTGTATAACGTGCATAAAGGCGACCCTGAGCACATAAGGCGGAAGTCTGAACAGCTGCGACTGGTCCACCTGGCGTCACAGAAGGGATCAATCAACCGTTGGCACACTATTGCCAAGCCTCCCAAGGTATCTGCCAAATATATTGGGAAAACTATTTCCCACTACAAGAAGTACTCTAAGCGCGCCTAGAAATTAAAAATTTTAAAAAAAAACTGCTTCCACAGTAATTAATTCACAGACACAATAACCTTGCATTATTAAAATTGTTATTAATAATGGACACGGAAAATACACTAGCGCAAATGCAACAACAGATCGCGGCATTGCAGGAGCAAATAACTCAGACTAGCCAAGAAAACCAGCAACTACATAACCAAGTTACAATAGCAAACCAAACTATAGCTGGCATGAATCAAAGTGGAATACATATAGAAAGACTTAAGACAGGTAAACCGGAAAAGTTTACAGGTCAAAACGTACGAAGCTGGCTTAAAAGTTTAGACAACATATTTTCAACGCAACCAAATATACCCAATGATGTCATCCGTATTAAATACGCAGTGAGCTATATGGGAGGTGCAGGATTACAATGGTGGGAACTAGTCACTTTGAACGGCACGCCGATACAGACATATGAGGACTTCCAAAGAGAGATCCTTAACTACTTCGAACCAGTAAACAGAGAGTTAACCGCGAGGAAAACACTTAGCAATATAAAACAAATGGGTAACCTAACCCAAGTGGCTGAATACAACAGAAAATTCGCGAAATGGCTACTACAAATTCCGTCAATGACTATGGCTGAACAAATGTTCCATTACAGCCAAGGACTCAAGACTCGAACACGTATCGAAGTTGAAAGAGCAGAGCCCTCGACACTACAAGAGGCAATGAAAATTGCAGATAGGCTGGACAGTTTGTACACAAACAATCAAGGTTTCTTTGGATGGAATAGGACTACTTCAAACTTTAGCGGGGGACCAACACCAATGCAGATAGGTAATCTTCCTAATCGCCAAAACAATAGACTCTCGTACGCAGAGAAAAAGCGGAGAATTGAGAACAGGTTATGTTTTGTCTGTGCGAAACCAGACTGCATAGCGCGTAACCATTACAACAAGCCCTACATAAACAACAAGGCATCTTATCATAAGAAAAACTAGTAATTCCGCTGGAGTATCTCGGCACATCAGTGGAAAAATGTACAACGGCCGACTTGCGTAAGAAAAATGAAAAAACACAAAAAACGGAAACACAAAAAACACAAAAAGAATACCTTAGATCTGAGATATCAAGTAGAGAAAATAATAATGTGAAACTATGTGCATTTTCACCATACAGGAAAAGGAGAAAATCACAGAGACAAAGCCTACTGGTTTACATGGGGAGGGTACAAAGTAGTACCGCCAACTTCTCATGTAACATCCTTGTGGATAGTGGGTGTGAGGAGGTCGTAATCTCAAAGAAATATGCAGAAAAATTGAAATTGAAGAAAGAGAAAACTAGTCTCAGTGCAGAACTATGGGACCGCACACTAGTTCCAATGGAGCGGTGTTGCGAGAATCTAAACATACGGATTGGGGAAGCTACCATCAACGTACGGCCATACGTAGTGGACTGGATCGCTTACGACTTAATTTTAGGCAAGGCGTGGCTATCTGAAGCCAACCCAATAATCAACTGGAAAGAAAACCGTATGCTCCTCAAGGAAGGATCTAGATTAATAACTCTGGACGCAGAGGCTCATCAACATGGGGCATCCCACCCTACATTCATGCTGACGAGTAAACAGTTCGCGAGACTAGCAAAAAAGCAAAAGAGTA